TAACTCTTCTCAGATTTTTGATGAAAGCTGAGATACAAATGTGTCCTTTTCATACTGGATTTTTTTTCACCAAATCTTTTGGATTGTAAAGTAAACTTTAATACTGATTGTTTTTTTTTTCTTTTTCCTCTTTGCTCAGTAATTTACATTTTAGAAACAGGTCAAGGAACACACATAGTTTGCATTCAGACTTTGTTTTTCTCTGGCATGTCTTCTGGCTTCTAAGAGAAATATTGTTACTGGACTGTAGATGTCAGTTGTGCCAATGCACACATACACTCCCTTTCCACATCGTTTCCCATGACTCTTAAAGTTCAAAAGCTCTCTAAAGTTGATTAAAAAAATCCTACTTGATATAAAACCATTTGCTACCTTTTCTTTTATTTCTTGCATAAAGTAAGTTTGTTACACTAAGAAGGTTCCAAATATACTTTATGTGAATTGAAATAAGCCAAGCATGATTTTATATATGAAAGCTTCTCACTCAGCAAACTTAATGTGATAAACCAACAGACACTCTCCTGTGCTTTCAAATATGTTTTGATGTATACCTCCTACAGTTTTTTAAACATGAAAAATTGCTATATATGAAGTTCTACTGACTTGGAAAATTAAAATTAAGGTCTATCCTTTAAGATAACTCTGATGTATTCCCTAAAGAAGGAAGTTTTATGCATAAAACTTGCCTCAAAATGTAGCATTCCTGTGCATGAGCAGCAGAGCTCTGAGACTATATTCACCTAGAGAAATATCCAATACTTTGCAGGGTAGACATCCATTATTTCTATGTCTTGACATTTAGGCACATTTCCATTCTAAACCACACTACACAGCCTTTTTCTGATATTTGCAACTTAATAAACATTAACTAAAAGAAAAGTCTTTACCTTTTAATCTTGTGCTGGTGGTTTTCTGTTTTATCCTTTACAGAGGAACTCCTGAGGGTAAGCTTCGGTATGATCTGAAAAACATTGTTTCAAATATTTGCCTAAGTAATGTGTCTTGAGTGGCATTCCATTAGGTATTTTCTGCATGCCTTCTGCTTCTAGTTCTTAAATAATTGTCCAAGGGTTCATCTTCAGGAGCGGTGTAAGAGAGAAGCTGACTTCTGCAACCGCAGTAGACAGGCAAATTGATTACTTTCTACTTGGGGAATCTGGTTCTGCCTGTTTGAAAGGCAGCCTTGCTGGGAGGCGGATCGCTGCTGGAGCTGCCCAGTAGCAGGAAGTGTCGAGGAGCAGCTCCCTCCTAGATGGAGGCCTTGCGAGCTGGAAGCGGAGCACTGCCTACCTATGAAGCACAAGCGTACGCGCAGGGATTGCTTGTTTCTACATTGCAGCACGAAGGAAAAGGGAAGCAAGGCTAGGTCGTTTACTTGAAAGAGGAAAAAAAAAATCAGCATAATAATACCCTATATCACAGTCGGTACCTTAAAAATATTCTGACTCCATTTATGTTTGACGTAAAGGCAGGGGTGGACAGCAGGAAATGTACGGCCTGTGCAAAACCACTTCAGTTCTTGGGGAGCATAAGGTGGAAACAGCTATTTGGATATGCTGTGTTTCCAGATACAGCAGCTCGGCTGTATTTTTTTGAATACAGTCAGTATTGCAGCAGGACTGCTGTGGAGAAAATGAAACCTAACTGGCCAAAAAGTTAGACTGATCTTACACCTTTCAAGGTATTAGAGGTTAAAAATCAGCAGCTACTGCAAGTTCTAGGACACTAGTGTCACACTCACACTGAGCTATGCAGCTTACCGACATTTCATTTTGCTTCAGCTGTGCTTTGTAGAATGTGCAGTCTAATAACATAGTAAAGAGTGCAGTTATTTAATCTTCAGGTGAGAAAGGAATAGGCTGTGGCAACAAACTCTGCGTTCAGAAATATTTTCTTCAGTTAGATCTAGATGAATTGACAGCACTGGTGAGGAATGCTTTTTGAGACTAAGGGGCAGTGCAGAAGGATTTTCAGACTGTAACACAGACAGGTTATGTGGGGGGGGGGGAAAAAAAGGGGAGATAATTGTTTCCAATCTTTTAATTACTTTCCACAGCTTTCTAGAATTTTATTTCAGATTTTCGCTGGTTTAGCTTTGGCCTTATTTCATAGCTAAATACTGAGAGGACATTACTTGTTCTAGCTGTTTGGTGAGAAGGATTAGTGCCGAAGTATCATAAGCATATTGAAAATGTCATAGGTTCTGTATATGCATTGAACAACAGTTAGGGAGTCTCTGCACTAAATCATCAAAAGTACTGTAGAAGTACTCTTTTTGTTGAGAAGCGGGAATGGATTATCAAAGGAGGGGTGGGGAGGAGAGCCTTATGCTCTTTCTAGCTCTGCAGGCAAGTCAGCGAAGTTTTAGATTATCAGTAGGATGTAGGGGGTTTTATCCCCAAGGTAAATAAGTGAACCTTTTGGACCACAAATAGTTAAGACTGATGAAGACTGAGAGAGAATGGACATTTGAGAAGCTGTCTTTCTATGGTGTCCTTCATAAACTTCTTGAAAAGAAAGATTAGTTAATGAATCATAGTGCATGAGGTTAATGGTGACAAGGAATGGGTTTTTGTGCTGTAGATGCAACACGGTTGGTTTTTTTTTAATGTCTCTTTGAAGTTAAAAACTCTCTTTGGAGTAAAATAATTAAGAATTGAGGCTCTCATACTGCAGTTCTGGGAAATAGGAAGGAATAAGGTCTTAGATCAAACTGAAGTGCTGACAAGTTTTGCTAACTATGAAGTGAATTCTTACCGTTGTTCCTTCCCAGCAAGGAGTATGATAAATCCAAAGCACAAGCTTTGGCCTAACATTCCCTAAAAGCCATTTGAGTTAATGACAATGACTTGAGATTTCAGAAGAAGGGCTATGATGTCTGCTTCCAAAACCATCTGCCGTTGCATTCATGGAAGCCAAATATTTGTGATTTTGCCCAGAAAGTTGAATCAGAGTTCTCATGTAATGGAAGTGTTGCTAAATTTCAGAACAACATTATTTTAGTGGAATTCCTTTATTAAAGAGAGGGAAGTGCAATTTTCAGATTCCCTAATGCTATGCAATACTCCTCTTTGCAGCTTTTGCACTTAGCTTGGATTATTACTGTTGCAGAAAGTGCAAAATAAGATTGCATTGTATGCTTATATTCCAAAATGGTCTACACTGGTTCAAAGCAAACAGTACCAGTTTTCGTGCTGAAAAGCAGTAACTTTGGACAGGAGTAGTCTATTGCTCGTAAAATATTATTTAATATCTTTTCGTAATTCCTAGAGTTTTACCATACTAGCTTTTAATTAAGAGCAAGTAATGGGAGGGAAAAGACTGTATATCCTATTGTCATGAAGAGTTTTTATGGAAGATGGGAACAACTCTTTTGACTTGACCTCTTTTGTGAAGTTTTGTTTATTCCTAATAAAACCCTCAGAGCCTCAAGAAACATGAATGATTTCCTATGTGTTTCTTTTTGTCATTTTTGTTTGTCTGTTTAAAATATACGTTTTGGATTTCTACCTAAATTTCTCCATTTGTTATTAAAATTTGCTTGTAAGTGAACTCAGAAAATCGTTGACCAACATGACTGCAAGTTTACTTTTTAAAGTTTCTTCTTAGGGAATACATCTGCTTGGATAACACATTCCTAAATACTTAGGTAAACTTACCTTGTTAATCCATCCTACCTTCTTGGATGCTGACCAATTTAAATCTATATTTTAATCGAGAAGTTGAGGTCTTGAGGATAGTCAAGTCCTGTGAATTTCATGAAAATTATTACTTGGATAGCTGAGAGAAATCGCCATAAGGGAAAAGATTTTGTCTTTCTGTGAGAAGTGGTTCCATACAGGTTTTGGCAGTTACCCTTGCTTTTTCTTACGTGTAGTTTCTAAGGTACCTTTTAGGGCTTTAGATTGGAAACTTTTCCAGTTTCATTTCATATATAGAGGAGTTTTCAGTGAAACATTACAAAATTAGTCTTGATAAAAGGAAGTAACTTGCATTTCTGTGGTTAGAACATAGTATCACCAGGAGTTTGCTGAGGTGAAGAACTCAAGTGTTTGGGACTTGTGTTTATAATTCTGGACAGCCCTCTTATCTTTGTACTAGTTATTGATAGCAGTGTTGAAAGGAACATTGCAGCCTCTGCTGCAGGGTGTGTGTCCATATGAAAGTGTGAAATAATGAATAACATTATTTGGGTGGTAAATCAGATCTATTTTGTGCCTTTTAAAAAACACACGTTATTGGCTGTAGTGTTGGATGCAGTTACAGAGTTTATGGGAGACAAAGCTGATCAAGAACAACACTCCCCCAAAAACTTAAGATGTTTATATTCTAGAGTCATCTTTGCTACCATATCTCTCAGAAATCAGACAATGATGGCACTTCATCTTACAAATACTTATTTCGTAAGCTGTTTCATACACCTTTTTTTTTTTTTTTTTGCTTCCCTCTATTTAATAATGAAGTATGTTTTTTAGAGCCATTCATGCAAGTTCCTCCCTCTGAGCTATGAGAAGAGCAGGTTTGAAACATTACATATCAAATTGTTTGGCATCAGAGAGAAATTCTGGATAGCAGGCAGACCCAAGATGATTGTGAAGCAGTATTATGTGGGGAAATGCGCATGGTTTGGGAAGTTGCAAATTCTGAACTTTGATCCATAGACTCCAACAGATTGTACTGTGTAGCTTTAGATGTAGAACGATAGTGTCTTTTACATCCATCTTCTTTGCTGTAAAATATAATTGCTTTGTCTATTAATATTATTAAATAATTACTAAGCACCTTAGTAATTATCTAATGTTAGTATCTGCTGAAAGTAGTGCACGGACTATATTAAGTAGAAAGAACAACTAAGAATTAAAGGTGAAACAAGGCATTTTCTCTTTACTTTCTCCTTCTTCCCCTTCTTCTTCCTACTTTCATTAAAAACATAGGTTTTAGAGATCTGAGAATCTCTCTTGTGTCAGGGTGCTAAGTGTTTCTTTTGATCTTTTCTTTAGGCTGGCAAATAAGCAGGACAGAGAAGGAGCTCTGTCAGAAGCAGATGTAATCGAGTCCTTATCTCTGGAAAAGCTTGTCAATGAACACAAGTGTCTATGTCAAATTGTAAGTATATTTTAAGATGCTTCATTTTCTAATATATATGTAAAGCTTCCAATAAGGTAGAAGATTGTTCTGCATAGCATAAAACTGAAACTAAAACCCTGCAATCCCAGCAAAGATACAGTACATATATCTGTTCTGCAAGCAATTCTGCTGTTCACCTTGACATTCTGATTCTGGATCTCTTGAAGAAATCTTTATAACAAGGATCCTCAAAGTGTATCTGCTGAGCCATTCTGAAACCATGTAAGAGTAATTAGTTACTGATGTGGTTTAAAACTTGCTTAATTGGACAGTAAGTTTAGTATTGCACCTTTTTAAAAAGAAGCGGGAAATGGAATTTGCCTACTTTGACATTCAGGAAGAATCACTGTTTGGATATGTTTGTCTCATTTCTGTTCATAGATAAAACCATCATTTAGTCTGAGTCACCATCTGGCAAACAGTAAGAACTTAATCTAATTCCTGGGGCATCTAATTCCCAGCACGGTAGTCACCAAATAACACTATTAGAGCTAGTTGCTAGTTAATATTTGTCGTAAAATAACTATATTTCAGTTGTAGTATTCACAGTCATGTTAAAAAAAAATTTTAAAAATCATAAAGGGGTGGGGGCCTAACCCAGAAATCTGTATGAAAGCTACTTAATATCAGTCAATATTTCACATAATTTATCCAAATAAATAGTCCCTGAAATTTTCTTTAAGCCTTTGTTTTAATCAACCAGTTTGTTAGTTAACTAGTTGTGGGCTTTACTTTAATAATCTTTTTCTAATTACAATAAGAAACATTTTAAAAGATAATGAGAGTTATGCTGTTATTAACCAAAATTAGAAGGCAATTTTGCAAAACCATTCCAGCTGGTATTTGGGTTTTAAAATTTAAAAAATACTTTTGATTCCCTAGGGAGACTTGCAAAAATCATAGGGTAATACATATTGCTACTATTTTCTATAGGAAATTGAGTTATAGCAGGGCATAGCTATGTTCATTATGTCATGACTCTTTGAGTGCTTTTCTTCAGTCAGTGGATTTTGCGCTATGCATATGTAGCAATCGTAAAAATAAAAATTGCAAGCGTGCCCTTCTTTTTCCAAGGGACTTCTGTGACAAAAATATTTTCTTGCAAAGTATTATCAATATAGAAGACCTGAAAGATTCTAGTGTATTTTTCCAATGCTTTAGAATTACTTAATTTATGACATGTTCCAGTGCAATGCTGTTCTTGTTCTCCATTTATGAAGTTCTTGGGTGTAATCAACAAAGAAAGTAGATCACATACTCTAAGTCATTTTAGCTGAAAGCAGCTGAGTGTCTTATGTACTCAAATGGACAGCTTCTTTACTAGGCCCATTAAAGGTAAACATGGTTCCAAGTTATTTCAATATCATGACTCATAGGGTGAATTTAAACAGGGGCATTGTGAAACAAGATTTAAATACAATTAGGCAAGGACCAAAAAAACTTTTTTTTTTGTTCTTATTCTTTTAATTAGTTTTATTCTCGATCTTTAAATTTCCCCACAAAATATTAAAGCAAATGGAAGGAGTCATTTGTCTCACTGTCACACAGTGTCAGTGAGAACAACCTTTCTCTTTTTTAATGTCTGTATATTCTATATTTCTAGATTTCTCTATTTTATAACTGAACTACAGCAACAATAATCTTGGTGCAAACCGAGAAGAAAATTGCCACAGTGCTGTCTATTGTTTTATCTTCGTTTCCTCAGAGAAACAAGGTATTATTGGCTATACATCATCTCGCAGATTAGGTTCTGTTAGAGAGTATTGTAGTGTTCCATAGTGAACAACACTCATATTTGGAACTTAATTTAGACAAAGTAGGAATGTATTAAAAAGCAAACTGAACCCAGTTCAGAACCCCAGTTTGGCGCTCTGGGGGGACATAACAGGTCAGAATTATTTTTTTCTGTTGTAAGTTGTACATACCATATCTGACTATGGTGCCATTTAAAGGCTTGTCAAATGAAGAGATAACACAGAGAATTTTTTAGGTGTTGACATTGGAGGGTTAGTCTTTTTTAATCTTCCTTCATTCATGAATGCAAATCCTGAACACAATCAGTGTGAAATATCATTTCTTCATGTCAAATACATAGCTGGATCTATTCAATTATTATTCAGAGAACAGTTTAAAAGACCCATACAGTGCTCCAAAACATTCTGTAAAATAGTTCTGAAGAGGTCTTGAGAGGTCATCTGGTCCTTTTCCATGTTCTAAGCAAGAATCAAGCTATATTTCTTTTGTTCCAATTAAAGCCCATTATAATTCTCCTCCTGATAATGAACATGAAGAGCAAATTATTCTTTTCTGATTTGCAGTTATGCCTTATGTTTTTGAAGGCTGTTATCATATCTCCTTGATGCTTTTTCATACTCCTGTTCCTTCAATGTTTTCTTACCAGATGTGTTTTCATAACTGATTTTGTCTGATTTTTCTCACTTTGCTCCTCATGATTCCTTCCAGTCAATCCTTTTCCTTGAATTGTTGCATCCAAGCTAGATAAAGTGTTCCAAACTAACTTAGCAATGGGTTTTGCACCCATCTTCCAATAGATTTGCCTAGATCATGTTTTTCTTGCTTGCTGATGAGAATATCATGACAAGAGTTTTACTCCAATCAAGATGCATTATATTTTGCTTCACCCCTATCCACAATACCTGTTCTGATCTAAAAAATGTAATTGGTTTGACAGTTATTCTGACAAATTCACACTGGATTTTGTTTATCCCCTAGGTGCTTATAAACAAGTCAAATATTTCTTTCCTGAACTGAAGCTAAGCTGATTCTGTTGCACCTCATTTTTTCTATTTTACTAGATAAATATGATATGGGCTATTTGTAAACCAGCAGCAAAACAGAACATACATATTTGGGGTTGATAAAGTATATTTCTATATAGATGCGTAGATATTGATGTGTATAGAAACAGGTGTGTAAATATACATATATACACATTGCAGGTGTATATGTAACAGCTGTGTGTATACGTGACAGCTGTATATATATGTCTAGAGAGATAGACATGCAAACGTTTTTCTGTCTAGTATTCTACTATTTTTGAAATGGGATTGGAAATAATGGAATTTGGTAGAACTAATGTGATTTATATCTTGGCAAAAAAAAGTACCTAAATTTATAGAATACTTAAATGCAAATTTGTTTCCAATACTTCTCAGGGTTGTGCAAGCTTCACAGTAAACAGTAATTGTTGACTGATTTCTTGTTTTCAGTCAAGGAATGCGGTCTGAACTGCAAATAATTTTCCCCTCCTTCTCCTTGTATTTACAGGAACCTTGCTCAGCTATCATGGGCTGTGGGAAAAAAATTGATAAATCAATAAAAAAGGGTTTATATTGGCTTCTACATATCATAGCAAAAGATTTTGATGCCTTAAATGAGCGCATCCAAAGAGACACTACAGAACAAAAAGCATATGAAGAACAACAGAAACTAGAACGAGCTGAGCGAGTGAGAAGGATACGAGAAGAAAGGTATTCTCTCTCTAATTTCTCCTACCTCCCCTTCCTCCCTGTCTCTAAGATACTTGATTAATTCCTGTACATAGACCTGATGGGAACGAAGCTATCAAGGATTTAAAGCTTACAAATGAAGAGTCTCTGTATTAAAAGTATGGACCTGAATGCTAGAGCCTTTCTTTAAGACCTATAAGTTTTTGCCTGGTTCATCCCGTTTATTTTATTCGCTCTATGCCGGAAATGTACCGTGAATCAGAACTGCAAGGTAGTTGTGGAATAAATTTGGCCTTGCTAATATAACTTTGCAGCAGGCTAACCTAAAAAATAAATCCCGTCATTTAATCTTAAGTTACCTTCAAGTGTATTCTAAAATAAACTTTTATTAACTTAAGTTAGACTTTGTAACTCATGTGTGAATATCAAAGACTAGATGTGAAACTTTATTCAACACTATGCTTAATAAACTTCAGGATGTCCAGCACGTGAGGCATGGAGAGACTTAAGACGATGCAGGGAGGGGAAGCAGGACGAGATTTATTACTTCCCTTCAAAGCCCTTTGTGGTCATCAGCAGCCCAGGATGGTTCCTATTACAGACTGATGTGAATCATTTTACTGGGGCATTCATAAAAAATTCGCTGAGCACCCCTGTCCCCGTCTCCCCCGCCCCCATCTGCCCTATGTATGCAGAGATTTGGGAGTCTCAATTACTGTGAGAAGTAACTGTGAAGCTACTGTGAAGTGTCTTGGCTTGTACTCTTGCTGATTTGGTTTGCTTCAACAAGTAAATTACTTAAGCACGTTTTAAACACCTGGAGTTTGACAGAGTCTTCACACAAGTTTCCACAAGCTTATAAAAAAATTCATATGCTGTTAGTCTGCCAGACGTCTCTGCATAGACAAAACCTTGTGACCATGTTGAATCGTGTTGGGTTTATGCCATGTTGAGAGGTGTAGCAAGGAGGACTGACTTTGAAACATGACTCAAAGAGATTGTCTGACAATATGGGCATTTTCCATATATTCTGTTCCTGCTCAGTGCTCTTGATTGTTCACTGGAAGAATTGGTTGGGTCTGAATTGGATTAAAGGCTTAAAAGTTTTGCTAAACTTCTTGTGTCCTAGAGGAAAGCTAACTAGGAACTTCTGATGGTTTTACCTGTAGCTGAGGGCTTGTCTCAGATATGAGATGGCATTAATTCTCATTTTGCCGTTTTGCATCAAATCGATTTCTTACTGTAAGAAACAGGTTAATCTTGATTCAAGTGTAATTCTGTTTCATTCTGTGTTTTAGTAATTCCCCAGACTGCTTTTTGTTCAGATTTACTTCCCTGAATGTTTTCTCAAAGTGCATTTCCTCCAAAATATGTTGGTAGCAATCGTTTTGTTCCAAGTGGAAAACCAGAGAGAGAGGTAGTGCCAATAAGACTTAAAAGAGCACTGGCCATTCCTCCCAAGTCCTTCCAAGGTTTCACAGGTAGATTGGAGACCTCCTTTTCATTCCCATCTGTGGCCCCGAACAACGGGGTTACTTCCTCGCTCAGTACTTGTAGCTGTACAGTAGGTGTGACAGTGACTCCCTATGCACAAGTACCATCAGATCAATTGATGAAAAGTATTTGATGAGCATATACTTTATTAATGATATAGTATTCAATACATAGTAAGTTAATATTTCTTACATAGAGATCTGGTACATAAAAATAACTAGTGCTGGTGCAACAACAGTACACTGAGTATTATGTGTCTTTCTGAACTCTTCTGAGTCTAGTTGAAGCAAATATGATTCTCTAACAGTTACTACATAAACTGAACAGTCTGACGCCAGTTCTCCCTTATGTATATTAAGAAGAATCTAGAATTATAAGAAACGGAGGTGTATTAAAAATAGAAGAATGTGGTTTAGGTAGTCTGGTTTCCCACAACGTAGGTTTGGGTTGTTTTTGTTTTGTTTTTTTTTTTTTAAATGATTGAATACCTTGAAACAATTGTTATAAAAGATTACCAGGGTGAAAATTTCAGCATACTGTTGAACAATCAAAACCTTCCAGTTACAGATGTATTCTGTCACATATCCTGTCCTCAGAAACTGCTTCTGCTTCCCGAAGTGCTGGTGGAATATTCAGGCACACAGCAGCGTGTGTTTCTACCTCTGCTATAACATATACTTGTGCTTTATTGATGTTAGCCTGTCATTGTGATTTCTGTAGAATGTTTTTCAAAATACAGAAGCATATGGTAAAAAGCAGCTTGCATAAATTGGAGGATGAGTTAGATGACCTAATAAGTGTTCTCTATTATGTGAAATTTATGGCTTGCCTTCTTCATAATTCCTTGTTCGTCTCCCCCTCTTTCCCCTTCCCTCCCTCCGCCCCCC